ACTTGCCATGGAGTCAATTCCAACGCGCAGCGACCCCAGGTGTGTCTGAGTAAACTGTGCTCTCTTGGGTTTTCAATGGCTGCATTTTTTGAAAACATAGATCACCAGGCCTTTCTTCTGAGGCACTTCTGGACTCAAAGATGAGCAGCTGAGCAGTTAACCGCTTGCACTACCTAGGGGTGTATTCAAAACCAGGCCAAGGTTAATCAGAGGAGGTCAATGGTGCTGCTAAGGATCCTTGGGAGTTTGGACAGTGAGGAAGGCATAGAAAAGAAACCCTGAGATTTCCATGTGACCTTCACACCCAACCAGCTCGCAGGGCTCCTGGTAGCCAATGAAGCCACACTGTACATCCCTGTTCCCTCCTGTGGCCCCAGAGAAGCAAGTAACCGCCTGAGAACATTTGCAGAGTCCGCACCAGCTGCAGCCATGCCCGAAGCCAATAGTGGCGATTCACCTCACAGGGAGGGATGAACAGGAGTTGGGAAAACAGGGTTCCAGATGAGGGTGGCTCCCCACCCACCTTCTAGAAGGCTGAAGAGGAGACAGTTGAATCAGAAGAGTCAAGTGACGTTTGAGTCCTAAACATGACAGCCTAGAGAACCCTAAGAGAGCGGGTCCACTCTGTAACACATAGGGTCCCCATGAGTCAGAATCCACTCTCCATGGCACCTAGTAACCTCAGCAGCTGCTACTTATTTAAACAAGACTGATACCCCATCCCCCACTTTCCAGGTGGGGAAGATGGGCCAGGTGGAAAACAACTATCCAGCCCACCCTCAAGCAAAGAAAGAATCCCAATATGCTGATCTCACCATCATGGAGCGGTGTGACCAGTGTTTTAAAAGTACCTTCCATTCGTCTTCTCAAGGAGAAGATAGTGGTGCTGTGGTTAAAATATTGGGCTGCCAACCACAAGGTTGGTGGTTCAAACCCACCAGTCGTTCTGTGGGAGAACGATGAGGCAGTCGGCTTCTGTAAAGACTTACTGCCTAAGGAAACCCTATGGGGTGGTTCTACTCCGCCCTATACACTTGCTAGCATTCAGTGGCAGTGGGTTTGGTGGATCCTCTCATATATGCCTTAGGGTCAAGGGTGGCACTATCACTTTCTACCAGCAGAGAAAGTTTAGCACAAGACTCCCAGGTAACCTGGTGGAACCACTGAGACTATGGCCCCTAGCTGCCCTTCAGGTCTGGAATTGAACCCACACCCGTGGTTTCCAGCCAAACAGAAGACAGGCATATGAGCTGAACATTTACCTGAAGTAGATACACTCTTTGGAGAGAACAATCATTGAGAAAGAAGGGCTGCTTATGCACAGGGAGACAGCTCAGGGGACAGGAGTGCGTGGAGGGGTGGACACAGGGAAGAGGTAACTATGGGGAGGAAGTGGGAGGGGAGCTGTTGCATGGGGTAAATTGTGGTCAATGACATGAGACAAAGCGTATGTGAACTGCTGTATGGAAAGTGAATTTGCTCTGTAAATCTTCACCCAAATCACAATGAAAAAAGAAAGAAAGAAAGAAAGAAAAGACTCCCAGGTAATTACCTCTTACACACAAGCTTGTTAATGGCTTGTCCCATAGCTATCAAAGAGCAGTAGCTAAAGCAGGGAAGCAAGAACTCAATCCACACTCCTGCCCACCAAAGGTACTGATTTTACATGTGGATTTCAATTTCTTTTCTTCTTCTTTTTTTTTTTTTTTAGAACACTCCCCAATTCAACAATTCCCACATGTCTATTTCCAGGGCACTGCTTTCTCCAGGCTGTGCAACTAGTATCACTACCTTTCCTGAGGTGGCCCATCAGTTTACATAAACTCAGTGCCCTTTTCCCCTCCAAGGCAGGGTTCTTTATGGCACTCACATTACAGTGACCCTGGACATCTAGTGTCCTCCCTTAAGCAACAGGAGAGACCCTGAAGCTCTAAATACTTGTGCATCCTGAGGGCAAACATACCCAGCACTGTGTCGGCAGGACTGAAAGTGTGCAAAAGAACCTTGTAGTTCTTCTACGAAGAGACACCCCCCACCTCCAAACCCAGACACACATTCAATTGTAAGAGACTGATCCCCACTCTTGGCTGCCCAATGGAATCACCTGGGAAGGGTTACACTCGCCCGAGGCTCAAGATCCTGATGTAATTGGTCTGGGAATCCAGGATTTGGAAAGCTCCCCCAGGTGATTCTAACGAATAGGCAAGCTTAGGACTCACTGTTTTAAGAGACATGCCGGAGGGAGACAGTAAGTTTGGTTGGCTGGGGACAGCGGGGCTCAGTTTGAGTTCTAAACTGTGGGGCATCTGATGGTAAAGGAGACTGGAGAATAGTGACTCTCAACGCCAGGGGTCTCCATGTTCTAATCTGTAGAAGGGTACAACGCTACCTACACTCTAGCCACCCCCAAGGTTCCGCAGTCCCCTCCTAAGACTCAGGTGCGCCGGGATGGGGAGGGGACCAGGAGGGAGGGAAGGCACGGTGCCTGGCGCGTGCAAGGGTCAGGAGGCAGGGGGAGTGGGGTGGTGCAGGGGACCGCCCTCACCTGCGTCGTAGAAGGCGTCTAGCATGGCTGTCTCCCCGAAGTCGAGCTCCCCGAAGGGCACGAAGGCCAACTGGGCGCCCTCGGCCTCGCAAGCCCGCAGCAAGCACTGCCGCGCCCCCGCCTCCGGCCCACCC